AAAGATTCTTTCATTGTTTTACAAACCCTCCCCCAGGTCCCCTCCACCATGTAGCCCTCGCTCTAGTCTCCTGTGATGACAGAAATACCTAGTTATATCAGGTGGATAGTTTTCAAACTACCTTAGATCATGGTTAGTTTTCCCTAATGATTTTTGGAAAAATGTTTGTGGTTATAAAAATCAGATTTCCTAGCTTGGTGCTTTATTAGGCCCTTGAATCCAAATACAGACATCAATACAAAAGTATTTTACTAGTGATCAAGTCTCATTGAAGGATCCTGAAGACATTGACTAAGTAGATTGACTAGATTTCATGTCTACTAAACAGTAAAATCTACTTAAACTTAATTTAAAGCTACTGGGAATATTGAGTGTTTACCCAGACACGTAAACAATTATCAGTATAGCACATATCAGAGCCTTGTAATTCTGCCTTCTAACACTAGGTGTCTCTCTCCTCCTACTTTATTTTATAGACTACTGCTTAAATCATCAAACAAGTAAAACCTAGTATTTTTACCTCCTCTTTTGTATTGGTACCTGCTATTTTTATTGACCTCATTTGACTGATTTCCTTTCTCCCTCCTTTTCCATAAACTTAAATATGCTTAATTAAATGTTTTATGTTTGTTTACATGAAAAAGACATGCATATACACAGAGGCACCCCTTCTTAATCTGGACCCTCATGTTCCCACCTCTTCCTTCTCAATAACTAATAAGCTTCCAGAAGAAAATTGTCTATACTAGTTTGGTTTATCTCTCCATTTATTTCTCCAATTTATGCAATTCAGCCTTGACTTTCTTTATGCCTTTGAACTAGTTATCACCACAGTTATTGATCCACTAGTTGCTGAAATTATCAGACACTTATAAAATTTAATAACCCTTTTACAGTACTTAATAGGGTCTATTGGAAAAAACAAAGCACTGCCAGAAGTGCAAGCTGGATTTAGAAGAGGCTGTGGCTCTAGGGACATTATTGCCAATATCAGATGTATCTTGGCTAAAAGCAGAGAGTACCAGAGGAATGTCTTATCTATGTTTCATTGACTGTGCAAAGGCATTTAACTGTGTGGATCACAACAAATTGTGGCTAACTTTGAGAATGAATCCCAGAACACTTGATTGTGCTTATATGAAACCTATACTTGGACCAGGAGGCAGTCGTCAGAACAGAACATGAAACACTGCATAGTTCAAAATCAGGAAAGGAGTGCATTAGGAATGCGCGGCATACCTTTTCTCCATACCTTTTCAATCTATATCATTCACGAGGCAGGACTTTATGAGGAGGAATATAGCATCAAGATTTGAGGAGGACTCATCAACAACCTGTATTATGTAGATGACACAAATTTGCTTGCCAGAAGAAGGTCAAGGACTTCAGTCTTCAATAAAAATTAAAACTCAACATTAAGAAAACAAAGATTCTCACCACTGAGCCAATTGGCAGCACCATGGTAGATGTAGAAGATACTGAGCTTGTTAACACTTTGAACTTGCTTGTTTCCACAATCAACACTTTTGGCACCAGCACTCAGGAAATTAAAAGACGAATTGCATTACTAAAATCTGCTGTCTAGGGCCTCTCCAGAGTGCTAAAAAGCAACGATGTCAGTCTAGAGACTGAGGTGTGCCTGATCTAGGCTGTAGTCTGTAATTATTTGCTATGCATCAGAGAGCTTGACAGTAGCTAAGAATGATAGAAGAATTGATGCCTTTGAGTTGTGGTGCTGGAGGAGAGTATTGAACATACCATGGACTGCCAAAAGAAGTAACAGATCTGTCCGAGAGAGGGTGAAACCAAGTTACTTCTTAGAGGCAAGGATTTTGAAGCTGCTTCTTACATATTTTAGACATATTGCCAAGAGGGGAAGACCATGAATGAGAGGGATTGACATAGTAACTGAGGTACTAGGGTTAAGTGTTGGAGACAGTGAGACTGACTCTGGATAGGGCAGGATTCAGAGCTATTGTGCATAAGGTGGTTGTGAGTTAGTCAACTTGATAGCGATAACAACAACTCCTTCCTTTGGCTCCTTGGAGACAAGATGGCAAAGCTTTGTCTTTCATACTTTGGACATGTAGCTAGGAGAGGCTATTTCTTAGAAAGAAACATCATACCTGGAACTATGGAGTGTCAGCAGAGAGGAAGACCTCCAGTGAGATTAATTACCATAGTGACTTCAACAATGGACGCTAGAGTGTCAGAGATGATGAGGATGACACTGTATCGGGCAAGGTTCAGGATGGTTCTTCATAGGGTTGCTGTGAGTCATTTTTTAATTGGCCGCACCTAACGAGAAGAACTCACTCCTAGATGGAAGGAATATACAGAGCCACTGGATCAAAAAGAATTGGTTGATGCTGAAAAAATCTAAAGTACTATATGAGTACTGCATGGTTCAAAATTGGGAAGGGCGTATGCCGGGGATGCATCCTATCTCCATTCATTTTCAACCTATATGCAGAACAGATTATCCGGGAGGCTGGGCTCTATGAGGAGAAATGTGGGGTCAAGATTGGTGGACGATTTATCAACAATCTGCGTTATGCAGATGACACAACCCTGCTTGCTGAAACTGAAGAGGACCTGAAGCGCCTGCTGCAGAGTGTCAAGGACTGCAGCCTACAATATGGATTGAGGCTCAATGTCAAGAAGACAAAGATTCTCACCACCGGACCAATTGGCAACACCGGGATGGACGGTGAAGAGATTGAGATTGTACACAGCTTTAGTTTCCTTGGCTCCATAGTCAACAGTCTTGGCACCAGCAGCCAGGAAATTAAAAGGCTCATTGCCATGGGAAAGTCTGCTGTTAGGGACCTCTCCAAAGTACTGAAGAGCAATGGTGTCTCTCTGGAGACTAAGGTGCGTCTGATACAGGCCATGGTCTTCGCAATCACTTCTTATGCATCAGAGAGTTGGACAATGACCAAGGAGGGTAGAAGGAGAGAGAATTGATGCCTTTGAGCTGTGGTGCTGGAGAAGAGTATTGAGAATACCATGGACTGCTAGGAAAACAAACAGATTTGTCCTGGAAAGGGTTAAACCGGGTGGCTCCTTGGAGGCAAGGATTCTGAGGCTCCGTCTAACATACTTTGGACATGTTGTGAGGAGAGACCGGTCCTTGGAGAAAGACATCATGCTTGGGAGGGTGGAGGGACAGTGCAGGAGGGGAAGGCTCTCTATGAGGATGGGAGTGTCAGAGACAATGCGATTGGCACAGGACAGAGCATAGTGTAGGGCTATTGTACATAGGGTCGCTATGAGTCGCAAGCGACTCGACGGCACATAACAACAACATATGAACAAGAGCCAATGGTAACTAGAGAGAAGTTCGAGCTGTAATGAAGGCATTGGTACAAAATAAGGCCCTAGGAATAAGGCCATAGTGTCATCTTTTCCCAATTTCCTAGGTGATTTCTAAATCTCCAGGCCATTCTCTACACTGTACCAAGAATGTCTTTCCAAAACATACCTGTTAATGTTAATCTCCTCCTTAAAATTGTCAGTAGCTTGGCTTCTTTAAATGGACTCTTTAAAACTGTTATGTTCAAGGATTTTTATAATGTAGCTGTTGCACTTATCTTTCAACACTCTTGTACTTTCTTTCCTTATAACTTTTCAAATGTACTAATCTCTCTACTAGCCCAGCAACACTCCCTCTCTCTGCCCCATCTTTTTTAACTTTGGCTGTCATCTCAGCATAGCTGCTGCTGCTTGTAATACTTCCTGAGTGCTCTGACGATTGGTTTAAAAAGCTATCATTGTGTGCTCCTATACTATATTTAAGGACAGAAACTTTTGTCTTTTTACCTTTTTATTTTTAGCACTTATTTTGAATTTAGCAAGCTCTGGTGGCCTAGTGGCAAGAATTCTGAAGGCTCACAGTTCTAGGCCACCAGACACTCTGCAGAAGGACAGGCAGTCTCCTCCCATGAGATTAACTGCCTCTGAAAACCCACTGGAGGGTCAGCTATGGGTCAATTTCAACTCAACAGTACAAAACAACAACATTCGTAACTTGATAAATATTTGGTGAATGTGTGAAATATTTTATGTATGCTCTATTTTCTTATAAGGTGGTAGTGACCAGCTCTAGTAAGTGTCATAATTTCTCTTTGCAGAAAAAAGTTGCAACTACGGCAAGTAAACCCAAACAGGAGGATGATGCAAGGATGGCAGCTAGAAATCGCCTCGCTGCCGTAAAAAAGGCGATGAGAGAGAGGGCTAAGCAGGAGGGGTGTGCTGAGGCAGCAATCTCCGTACTACCCCATGAAGTTGATAAAATTGTGTTTGATGCTGGGTTTTTCAGAATTGAAAGTCCAGTTAAATCATTTTCAGGTTAGTTTTCTTGCTGAGACTTTACAAGAAATATTTGTATTGTCCGGGGGCTGGTAAAAGAGTTGGGAAATCTTTGTTTAAAGTTTTTTTTAAGTTCTGATTTCTGGAAAATGGACTCTTACAATCACAAACACAAATATAAATCACATTTTGTAAAGAATAATCAGATTGCTTAAGTGTGATAGATATATCCTGTAAAATTGCTGTTGTATTTTCTAAGTGGTAATTGCACATTTTATTACCATATAAAAGCACAGCCTTCTCAGAGAAGTCAGAAGGCCAAAAAAGTAAAGGTAATAGCAGAAATGTGAGAGGTTAAATGCTGTTCTCTGGGTCATACACAGTTAGAAATTTGGGTCAGGATTGAGGTTGAAAAGGAAGCCTAACTGTGCTTTTCAACGAAGCTTAATGGAAGTGTGATTTGATTTCATCTTATTTATATGTATTTTTGCTTGACTCTTATAAAGGCAATGAATGTACTAATTCACTCATGTTAAAATATTCCGGGGGGGGGGGGGGGGAATATTCCAGGGATACAAATGTTTAAGACTTTAGGAAACCATTCTCATGCTTTTCTACTTCTAATAGTATTTTTCCAATGAATGTTTCTCACTGGGCTACCTTTTTATCTACATCTGTAGTATATACTTATAAACTATAGAATAAGAAGTCATAAATGAAATAGTCTGTGCTTTTAATCTTTGTAGAATTTCTATTACTTCTTGATACTTATTTTCAACAATAATGGAGCCAGTTCTTCAAATACCATGTTATATAATTGTATCCTTTAGAATTTTTTTTTTAGAAATTTTTCTGATAATGAACATCTATCAAATATCTACATTTAAGTGTGTGTTATCACTTCATATATATTCTGTTGTTGTTAGGTGACATCGAGTCAATTATGACTTATAGCGTAATTGACTATGAATGACAGGACTGAACCCTACCCTATCCTGTATCATCTGTGCCACCCTTGAGCTTATTGTTATAGTCACAATATCAATCCATCTCATTTAGGTTCCTCCTCTCCTTCTCTGACCATCTTCTTGAGAATGATATCCTTCTCCATGGACTTGCCTCTCCTAGTAGCATGCCCAAAGTATATGAGATGAAGTTTCACCATACTTATAAGAAGTACCCTGGCTGCACACTCTTCAAGACATATTTGTTCTCGTCAATCTGTGGGGTACTCAGTACTGTTCTCCAGCCCCACAACTGAAGGCATCCATTCTTCCTCAAACTCTCTCAATTTAGGTGTTCCACCTGGTGAGCTTTGAGTTTGTTTCCTTTAGCAGCTGCACTCTTTGGATACACAGGGATCTCCGCAATGATGATAACATGTTCCTTTACGTCTTAACTTCCAAGGACTCCTAGTAATTTCTTCAACTGTGACCTCATCTTCTGCATTTTCACATACTCAGCTCAGTCTCATGTGTGGAGAGATTGAGGTTTTACTGCATATATGTTTCTAATCCTAAGAAAGATGATCAAGCAGAATGTGGAAATGATCAAACAATATCATTTGTGTCACATGCATGCAAAATATTGCTAAGGATTATAAAAAAATGACTAGAAGAGTACATTAACATAGAACTGCCAAAGGTCAAGCTGGATTTAGAACAGGCTGTGGCACCAGTGATTGCTGATATCAGGTGGATCCTGGCTGAAAGCAGAGAATACCAGAAGAATGTCTATTTTTATTTTACCGACTATGCAAAGGCATTTGACTATGGATCATAACTAACTATGGTAACTTTAGAGAAGAATGGGAATCCAGAAACATGTGGCTGACTCTGAGAAGAATGGGAATCCCAGAACATTTAATCGTTCTAATGTGAAACCTATACTTGGACCAAGAGGCAGTCATCAGAACAGAGCAGGGCAACACTGCCTGGTTCAAAATTGGGAAAGGTGTGCGCCAGGGATGTGTCCTATATCTGTACCTTTTCAACCTGTATGCAGAGCAGATTATCCGAGAGGCTGGGCTCTATGAGGAGAATTGTGGCATCAGGATTGGTGGAAGATCTATCAATAATCTGTGTTATGCAGATGACACAATCTTGCTCGCTGAAACTGAGGAGGAACTCATGCACTTACTGCAGAGGGTCAAGGACTGCAGCCTTCAGTATGGACTGAGGCTCAATGTCAAGAAGACAAAGATTCTCACCACTGGACCAATTGGTAGCATCAGGATGCATGGCGAAGAGATTGAGATTGTACACAGCTTCCGTTTGCTCGGCTCCACAGTTAACACTTTTGGCACCAGCAGCCAGGAAACCAAAAAACGTATTGCGATGGGAAAGTCTGCTGTTAGGGACCTCTCTAAAATACTCAAGAGCAACAGTGTCTCTTTGGAGACGAAGGTGCGCCTGATACAGGCGATGGTCTTCGCATTCACTAGTTATGCATCAGAGAGCTGGACAATGACTAGGGAGGACAGGAGGAGAATTGATGCCTTTGAGCTGTGGTGCTGGAGAAGAGTATTAAATGTACCATGGACTGCCAAGAAAACAAACAGATTCATCCTAGAGAGGGTTAAACCAGGCTACTCCTTGGAGGCAAAGATTCTGGGGCTTCGTCTGACATACTTTGGACATGTTGCCAGGAGGGACGGGTCCTTGGAGAGGGACATCATGCTTGGGAGGGTGGAGGGACAGCGCAGGAGGGGAAGACCTCTATGAGGTGGATTGATTCAGTGACTGGGGTAATTGGGATGGGTGTGTCAGAGGCAATGCAATTGGCACAGGATAGAGCAGGGTTTAGCGCTGTTGTACATAGGGTCGCTATGAGTCACAAGCAACTCACGGCACATAACAACAACAATACAAAACCTATACGTAAACCAAAAAGCTGTTATTTGAATAGAGCAAAGATAGACTGTTGTTGTTGTTGTTATTTGAATAGAGCAAAGATAGACTACATCGTTTAAAATCAGTGTAGATGTGCACCAGGGCTGTTTCCCTTCTCTGTACCTATTCTGTCTGTATGTTGAGCACATCATTTGCAAAGTGTACTAGTTGAAAATAAGCTTGGAAGCAGGAGTGGCATCCCACTTCTACAATAGCTTGCGTCTGGAAACCCTATGAACCTGAAAAAAGGATGAAAGTTATAAAGGAGGTGTCCAGGACTTTCGTTCATGGGGTCACTATGAGTCGCCTGTGACTCGACGGCGCTTAACAACTAGTTGAAGAATGTAGCACGAGGATAAGATCAACAACCTGCATTATGCAGAAGGCACACCTTGGTTTCTGAAAATGAGGAGAACTTGAAACATTTGCTAAAGAATATCAGCCATCAATATGGATTGCATCTCAACATCAAGAATATAAAAATCACCACCACCGACATAATAGACAACATCATGATAGATGGAGAAAAGAAAATTGTCAGTAATTTCATCTCACTTGGATCCACAATCAGCACTCTTGGTAACAGTCAGGAGACGTGTTATATTGTACAAGTGGGCTGTCAGGGACCTCTAACTGAGGAGCAATGATACTAGTTTGGAGACTAAGGTACACCTGATTCAGGCCATAATCTTTTAAGAAAAAAAACAGTAGAATGAATAAGGATGACAGAAGAATTGATGTCTTTGAATTGTAGTGCTGAAGAAGAGTGCTGAATATCCCGTAAGCTGCCGAAAGAACAAACATATATAGGTCATGGAGAAAGTGCAACCAGATTGCTCCTGGGCATGTTGCTAGGACAGGCTATTCCTTGGAAAGGGACATCATAGTTGGTGAAAGAGAGGAAGATCCTCAATGAGATGGATTGACACAGTGACATAGCAAATGGGCTCAAGTGTTTTAGAGGTGATGAGGTTGGCACAGGCTAGGACAAGATTCAGATCTGTTCATTTGGTCACTGTGACTCAGACTCCAGCAAGCTTGGGCACCTAACTTCCGTTCTGTGGGGTGGCAGTCCCCACACAGCTGTTTCACGTCAGCATTCTGGTTCACGTCAGCATTCTGGTTCACTGCTGCTGCTGCTTTGGTGGTAGTGAGTTTCCCAAATTTCTGCAGCTTAACCTGCTCAATTGTTGTGGTAGAATGAAGAAATTAGCTCATCCCCTTCATGGAAAGACTAACACATCCAGTTTTCATCCCCTGCCCTACCCAGCTGTGGGACAAAATCAGGGTCAGTGGCCTAGGAAAACCATTTTGAACAAAGACCCATTACACCACATTTTTTATCTATCTATCTATCTATCTATCTGTCTGTCTGTCTGTCTGTCTGTCTGTCTTTACTTAGAAATTTCCACAATTTTTTAAAGTACCTTAAGGTCTTATCTAAATTACAGTTTCAAAAAATGTCCTTGTCGTCTTTGGTCTCCCTTATTCTTATAGATTTATGTTTTTCTCTACTAATCTTAAAATAGATATCAAGAGCAAGCAGAATTTAATGTTTGCTTTTCCTTTTGGTACTGTCTTTAACTGATACCACTTGACATTTGTCAGGAGAAAAAAACACTATGTGTAGGAAAAATTTGCCCCATCATTCTAAAGTGAAAATTGCATGAAATGTCTATTTTAATGTTGATAATTTATTTTCTCTTCTAGAACTTTCTCTCGCTTCTGGACGACTTTCTCAAAAACTGAAAACACCTAAATCAGTTGTCAAAGCTGTATCTCAGAGCACAGCTAAGATGGACCATCGAAGGCAAATAATGCCAGCAGAGAATCTTGATCCTCTGAATACTACAAGTGAACATGTTGAGAAAACTTTACTTTCAGATATTCCTCAAAACAGGTATTTGTTTAAAATATTGTTAAAGTTTAACAGTATGCTGACCCAAAATGCCATTTGAGTTTGTTAAGCTGTTAAAAGAAATTATTTGTTTTTAAATATTTTTATATTTATTTATTTATTATAGATGTACAATTTGTTTTTAAATGTTTTTGTGGGGAAGTATATCTTAAAAAATTCTAGTGTTTAGAAACTTTAAGTACACTTATGCATATATTTTTGTCATTATATTTATCTTGTACAATCAAATCATTACCATTATCCATTTCTAATTTTCACCACCCTTAACAGAAATACCTGTCCATTAAGCAATAACTATTCATTACCTCCTCCCACCTACCCTCTGGTAACCCCTAAAATTAGGTTTAGTATTTATGCATTTGCCTTTTTTAGATCTACAAGTGGGAAAAATACAATTTTAATTATATTTCACAATGACTCTATAATCAACAAATAACACTTCCATTTCATAAGTAAAGAAACATAATATTGTAAGTTGATAAATATTTATTTAGGCAGTCTAAGTAAATTCTGCATGATTAAAAGAAAAAGCTAGAGTATTACATTCTTTAGTATAAATAGCTGTACCTTTGGTTCTTGACATAGCATATCTAAAAATCAACGCTGTGCCTTATTAGCCATAAAACTTTGGAAAATTAATTATCTTAGATTCTTAGTTATATAGTACTTTTATACAAGAATTTCCACAAGTGAGTGGCTTTAACAAAAGTTTATTTTCTCAAAGTTTAGGAAGCTGGAAGTCTGAATTCACAGTACCAGGCTGGGAGAAGGCTTCCTGTTTCTGCCCTGAGGGATGATAGTTTTTCTTTGACTTCTTAGTGATCTTATATCTCCAGGCAAATTGACTGAAAACATGCTGTACATTAGATCTGCGCCATCAATATAATGAAGACACCCATTTTCAAATGGGATGATAACCACAGACATAAACAGTTCATAATAGCTTTGTCATCAAACAGTAATGCTGACACTTTTGTTTTTGAATCCTTGTGAGGTAAATACTCTTACCTTGAGTTCCGGTTCTTGATAGATGGTAGACCTTTAACAGAAAAGGAGCTAATGTACATTGAACAACTATCATGGACTAGAATGGTTCTGAGACCTTAACTGTCACTTCTTGGAATCCACACAAAACTTTTGCTACTTTTATCCCATTTTTCACATGTTAGTTTTTACCCTAAAAAGTAAAACGTGAAACACTCAAACCTATTTTCATTGAGTCAACTCAAAAATTTGGAAGAGACAGGCTTTTCAATAAAATCTAAATTAGGAAAGAACCCCAAGATTATAATATATTGTACTATAACCAACAAATAAATGTAATAAGCTCAATTACAAAATAAAGTTGTTGCATACATCTCCCACAGAGGTGAACTCGCCTCACCTTTCCCTGGTAGGTGACTCTGAAATTGGCTAACATTGAAAATGGTGGTAGTGGATCTGTCTTAGATTAATTAATCAATGAGATAAGAAACTTAGGAGTTTCTTTAGAAAAGTGCTTTTAATTTGTAAGGCCATAGTCCAAAATAGTTTTTTTTTAATCAGGCCTGATCTTGTGTCACATTTCATCATTGATTCATTCTCTAAATGAATTGCATAAAGGATTGAACTAAAAACACAACTGAAAGAACATATACTTAATATACAACGATAATGCTGCTTTTTTCTTGTTAAAGCATAATAGAAGACACCCAGTGGCCCAGATTACCGGATTTAATTGAAGTAAACCATGTAAGTTTTTTTCCAGTGCAGTTCCCTTGTTTTTTCTCCCCTGTTTATATCATATATCTAATTCCATACACCTTACATATCCACTAAAAATTTGAATTGGCAGAATAATGTGTCATATTGCAAAGTCCTTTGACTTATTATATATACACCAGATGTCCCTAGCTCTGGAATGTTGTTGTAAATTCCCATTCTTGTGTACCATCAAGTCAGAACCAACTCATAGCTGACCCTTCAGCAGATTTTCAGAGGCAATTAATTGTATGGGAGGAGAAAGTTTTATTAGAACATAATTTATTTACATAAATAAATGGTTTCTGTTTTCTTAAAAGACAGCAGTGTCAGAGTGAAGTAGTGATAACAAAGATTCTATTGCCCAGAAGGTCTAAAAAACTTTAAAAAATAAAATAAAAACTATATATGACCTTTCACAGAAAATGTTTTGCATTCCTCTAAACTGAAGGATAGCTCATGGCTAAGAAGCTGTTTTTCAGTCATGCTTGTTCCCATCATGTTATTTTTACTGATTATTTAGGAAGTGAGATAAATTTTATAATGTTCTCTAGGGAGCGCTGATGGCCTACTGGCAAGAAGCTGCGCTGCAAACCTGAAGGCACTTAGTTTGAGGCCACCAGCTACTCTGTGGGAGAAGGATGGGCAATCTCCTCCCGTACAATTACTGCCTCTGAAAACCCACTGGAGGGTCAGCTATGGGTCGGTTCCAACTTTACAGTACACATCAACAACATAGCCTGTGTTCATATCATCCTTTTACTTTTTAAAAAAATTGTAAAGCAATAAAACCGTTTCTGTTCTAATTTTTGGTAATTAAATTTAATATTAATCTTTTACTTCTAGGATGCAGATAAGATAAACTTTGACATGGATTGTTTATCCGATGAAAAGATGAATTTACCTCTACTTGTTGATGAAGGGGCAGATAATATTAATTCTAAAAAAATGGAAGACACTTCAAAGGCTGTAGATGGAATGGAACAGAATTTTTCCTTTATAGTACAAGATGTTTTGATGTGTAGCCCTGAAAAACTTACATCATCACAAAGTAACATCTCACAGGAAGAAGAAACTAAAATTTCTTTATGTCAATCAGGTGAGGTTTTTATAATTTAAATGTGACTTTGTGTAATAAACCAATTTAAGGAGTCATTTTAAGGAGTCTTAGGAGTATAGTGGATTAAATATTGAATTGCTAACCAGAAAGTCAAGATTTTAATCCATCAGCAGTTTCATAAGAGAAAAATGAAGTAGTACTATTTTCTTAAAGATTTACAGCCTTGGGAACCTTAGGAGTAGTTCTATGTGACCTACAGGATTGCTAGGAGTTGAAATTGACTTGACAGCAGTGGGTGAGCTATGTTGTTGTTATCTGCCATCGAGTCACATATAACTCATGGTGACCCTTTGAACAACAGATCTGAACCCTGCCCTATCCTGTGCCATCCTCACACTTCCTGACACATGCAACATCTGCTTCTAAGGAGCACTCTGTCTCCTTGGCATTTTCTCCAAGACATATTTGTTTGTTCTTTTGGCAATCCATTCACTTCTCCAATATCACAGCCCAAAGGCATCAGTTCTTCTCCTGTAAAAAAGAAGAAAATTAAAAATTTTTGCCTAATCTTGCAGTCCAGAATAGACCAAACATTCAATCAAGATGCGTTAATGGTAATTTGTGATTGGAATACAAAAGTGAGAAACAATGAAGAAGGAATAATAGTTGGAAAGGAGGGACTTGGTGACAGAAATCAGGCTGGAAGAAGAATGATTGAATTTTGTGTGTCCAATGGTTTATTCATTGCAAGTATTTTTTTAAAAAAACAAACGATAACTTTACACATGGACCTCATCTGATGGACTGTGTAAGATAGGAATCAGATTGACTACATCCATGGAAGGAATTTTTGCAGAAGTTCAATATCAGCAGCCAACTGTGGAGCAGACCATCAGTAACTCATGTTCAGGTTCAAATAGAGGCTGAAGAAAATTAAATCAGTGAGAACCAAAATATGATCTTGAGTCCATCGCACCTGAATGTTAAAATCATCTTAAGAATAAGTTTGAAGCTTTGAAAACTAATGGTTGAAGACCAGATGATAGCAAGGATACCATCCATAAGAGAGCAAAAGGTCATTTCAAAGACAGAAGGAAAAGCTTATATGGATATCTGAAGACACTCTGAAAATTGGACTAGAATGTCAAAAAGCCAAAACAAAGGGAAAGAGCTCAACAGAAGATTTCAAAGGACAGCTAGAGAAGACAAAACGTTTTAATGAAAAATGTGGAGAGCTGAAATTGGAGAATAAAAAGGGAAGAATTCTCCCTAGTTTTCTCAAGCTGAGAGCCGAAAAATAAATTTAAGCCTTGAGTTAGAATACTGAAGGATGCTATGGGCAATATGTTGAATGATCCAGGAGTCATCAAAGAAATTAGAGGTAACACATAGTCACTGTACCAAAAAAAATTTACTAACACTGAAAAATCTCAGAAAGTTCTTTATGAACAAAAGCTAATGATAATGAAGAAAAAAGTTGAAGCTGCACTGAAGGCATTCAGGACTTAGGTCCCAGGAATCAATGACACACCATTTTACATGTTTCCACTAACAGATACAGCTTTGGATGTGCTCATCAGTCAGGGTTAGGGTTAGGGTTAGGGTTAGGGTTAGGAAATTTGGAGAGCAGCCGCCTGGCCGACTGACTAGAAGAGATCCATCTATGTTCCCTTTCCCAAGAAAGGTAATCCAACAGAAATATGTAAAGTGTCAAACAACATCAGTAATATCATATGCAAGCAAAATACAGTTAAAGATCATTCCAAAAGAGCTAGAATAGTACAAAGATAGAGAACTTCCAGAAGTTCAAGCAGGATTTAGAAAAGGCCATGGTTCCAGGGATTTCATTGCTGATGTCAGATGGATTCTGACTAAAAGTAAAGAATACCAGAATAATGTTTATTTATGCTTTATAGACTATGCAAAAGTATTTGACTGTGTGGATCATAACAAGTTATGCCTGACATTGAGAAGATTGGGAATCCCAGTACACTTAATTTTGCGCTTGCAAAACCTCTATCTTAACCAAGAAGCTGTTGTACCAACAGGGCAAGGGAACATTACATGGTTTAAAATTGAGAAGGGAGGGCATCAGAGCTGTATTCTCTTTCTTTATCCAATCTATATGCTGAGCAAATTATTCAAGATGCTGGACTTTATGAAGAATGTGTCATCAAAATTGGTGGGAGACTCTTCAGTTACCTGTGTTATGCAAATAATACAACTTTGCTTGCTGAAAGTGAGGAGGACTTGAAGCACTTGTCACAGAAGATAAAAGAATTCCATTTTCAATATGGATTGAATCTCAAAGTCAAGTACACAAAAATTTTTAACATTGGACCTATAGACAACATTATGATAGATGGAGAAAGCATTAAAGTTGTCAATTACTTCATCTTATTTTCATCCACAATCAGCATCCCTGATACCAACAGTAAGGAAATCAGGAGATGTATTGCACTGGGAAAATATGCAGTCAGGCACCTCTCCAAATAATTGAAGAGCAGTGATGTCAGTTTGAGGACTAAGGTGCTTCTTAAGAAAGAAACAGGCTACATTCTTTCCAGTCACTTGATAGGCATCTGAGAGCTGGATGTTGAGTAAAGATAGCAGAAGAAGAAATGATGCTTTTTGAGCTTTGGTGTTGGAGAAGAGTATTAGGTGAGTCTTAGATTATTCTAGATACTTCAAAGTACCCATTTGTAAGGATTATGATTAAACAATTAGACATGCACAGTAAGTACGAGAATTCATTTGTCTTGTAATACTCTACCCCAACCCACTTGTATAAGATCTCATAGAAATCAATACAAATACTAATCCAAATTTGATATAAGAAGTGTTTTACATTTTTTGATAGTTGCTATCAAGTTGATTCTAACTCATGGTAACACTTTGCAGCTGAAACAAACACCCCTGGAGTGTCTTCCCAGACTCCTGTAGGTGGGTTCAAAACAGGACTTTGGCTAGTTGGGCAATTAAGCATTTGCACTATTTAAGAACAACAACTATTAGATTTAGAAGCAGGAGTGACATCCACTTCCTAAACAACTTGTTCTGGAAACTATGAACTTTTATAAATGTCAGTAGCTGTAGAGGGGCTTCAAGCCTTTTGTTCATAAGGTCGCGATGAGTTGTGATCAACTCAAAGGCAATCAACAACAACTATTACAAGAGTGAGCTCTGGTGACCCAATCAATAGGGAGTTGTGCATCTAAACTGAGGGCTTCTTCTCTAGTAGTTCCAATCCACCAAGACTTTTTGGGATAAAGATGGACAGTCTCCTCTTGTGCAGTTTACAGCCTTGGAAACCAAAGAGAGAGTCAGCTCTAAGTTGGTTCCAACTTGAAAGCAGTAAGAGAAATACAGTAAGCAGGAGCTGCTGGTGTTGTAATGTTTCACTTGTTGGGCTAAAGCCAAAAGATTGACAATGTGAACCCACCATCCACTCTCCTGGAAAAAGATGAGAAAGTGTGCTCCTTTTAGCATTCATAGCCTCGGGAACCTAATGGAGGCTCACCAGGTGTCAGAATCTACCCAATGGTAAGCAGTTTCTTTAGATTTAACATTATAAATGTAAGATTGATTTGCAGAGTACTCTTTGTACAGAGATTAATGTAAAGACATTTTAAAATAATACTATGTAGTATAAAGAAGGTCACTGATGAGTCAATCCTGATGCCACATTGTTCATAGAGTCCAGCTTCTCGAATAATATGCTCAGTATACAGACTTAAGTTATAGAGAAAGGTTACATCCCTGACATACACCTTTCTTAGTTTTGAACCAGGTAATGTTCCCTTGCTCTGTTCTTACAGTAGCCTCCAGGTCTAGGTATAGGTTTTATTTGAGCACAATTAAGCATTCTAGAATTCCCGTTCTTCTCACTATTAGCCATAATTTGTAATAATCCACACAGTCAAATGCCTTTCCATCATCAATGGAAGTACAAACAGGCAATTTTTTTGTATTCTTTACGTTCAACCAGGATCCATCTGACATTAGCAATGATATCCTGGTGCTATAGCCTTTTCTAAATCTAGCTTGAACTTCTGACAGGTCTCTTTCTATGTGATGTTTTTGCATGATCTTCAATATTTTCTTTACAAGAGATACTAATTATATTGTTTAGTAATTTACACATTGTATTAGAGAATGGGCATGTTGTTAGGAGAGGCTATTCATTGAAGAGGGATATCCTGCTTGGGAAAGTGAAGGGATGGTGAAAGAGAGGAAGGTCCTTAACCAGATGGATTGACATAATGACTCCAGCAATGGGCTCAAGAGGTTGTGTCAGAGATTGTAAGGATTGTAGGATAGGACATACTTGACTCAGTGGCAACTAACAGCCACCTACATGCAAAACAAACAAACAAAAATCCATTGCCACCAAGTCAATTCCAACTCACAGGCCCTCCATAGGACAGAGGAGAACTGACCCACAGAGTGTTAAGGCTGTAAATCTTTACAGAAACTGGCTACCACATCTTTATCTCACTGGATAGCTGGTCAATTAAAACCATGGATCTTTGGGTTAGGAACCCACCGTGCTACCAAATCTGCTTTTACATAGTATGAAATGATAGGTATCTTACTATTTCAGATATGGAAACTTTTTTTATTATTTTAAGGCTATTTTTGTTTCTAGTGGCCTTCAATTGTAAAAATATTCTTTAAAAATGAAAATTTCTTTGTTATTGTTTTTAGCATTATTTGATAAAGAAAGTCTCCCTACCGAATACCATCTTCTCGATTCAGTAAGTTTCCAAATAACTTTCTTTATAGTCTAGATTTACTCACTTTTATTTTTATGTGTAAAGTGTAATTTGTATCTTGCCATTATATGCTTATTCTGACATCTCTGTTAACTCGTTTTCTCAAGGTAGACAACCACTTTCCATATTTACATATTTTCAAATATCATATAGGTTCATATTAAACCTTGAAGATTCATGTCTATATATGATATATGTATCAAATTTGTTATGACTAGTTAGCTGTGTACTTAATATTTAATAAGTAGCTTGAATTGTGCTGGATATTTGTCAATGATATAAGAAAAACATATAGCAAGATTTCCCTTTATGAAACATACAAATTGGGGGATAATGTCTGTCTGACTTTTCATCAGCATTGTTATTTTAGTTCCAATTCTCTTTTTGTTTTTAAATCCAGGCCTTTCATTTGGGAGCTCTCTTTGCCTTAACTTTCAGTATCTTTTTGTCTGTGAATCTTAATTCAGACATTAGCTTTTTGTAAAAGCTTCCTGTTTTCACTTCTCCTGTATTATGCACGTATGTGCATATAAGCAATACAGACAAGGTTCACATTAATCTCTTATTAAAGTATACTTTGTTGTTGTTAAGTGCTGTTAAGTCAGTTACAACTTATTGAAACTTTATGAACAATAGATTGAAACATTCACCTATTTTACACCATCATCAGGATCTCAGCCATGCTCAAGTCAGTTGTTGCAGTCACTATGCCAAGGTATCTTGTTGAGGGTCTTCTCTTTCCTTGACCCTCTGCCTTTCCCAAGATGATGGTTTTTTTCTAGGCACTAGCCCATTCTGACAATGTCCCCAAAATATGTAAGACAAATTTTTTTTTAGTTATTAATTTTAAGGAAAGTTTACAGAGACTTTGGATTTCCATTCATTCATTCATTGTTGCACTTTTCTCCCTGCTCACCCTTCCCCCTGCAGTTCGCTCTTCTCTTTGAAAAGTAAAAGAAAACTTTTTAAATTGTTATATAGTCCCTCCCCCCAAGTCCATTCCACTATGCAGCCTTCATTCTAGATTCCTGTCATGACGATAATACTTAATCATATACCCCTTTTAAACAGTTCTCTCCCTCATCTGTTTCAGTGTAGTATACATAATTTGTCCCATCTTTCTGTCTCCCCCAACCCCAATGTCAGTCCTATTGTACAGCAGTGCCACTATGCAGTATTTGTCCTTTTATGACTGAGATATTTCACTCAGCATGATGTCTTCCAGGGTCACCCATTTTGTATAATATTTCATGAGTTCTTTGTTTTTCAAAGCAGCGTAGTATTCCATTGTGTGAATATACCACATCTCTGTTTGTTTGTTGATGGGCACTTAGGTTGTTTCAAGCTCTTTGCGATTGTGAACAAAGCTGCGATAAACATGGGTGTGCATATATCTGCTTCAGTGGCAGTTACAGTTTCTTTGGGGTATATTCCCAGTAGTCGAATTTCTGGTATTTCTCTTTCCAACTTTTTGAGAAAGCACGAGACTACTTTCTATAGTGGCTGTACCATTTTATATTCCTACCAGCAGTAAGTAAGAGTTCCAATCTCTCTACAACTTTGCTGCCCTTTTAAGCTTTGCTGTTGCTAGGGTCAAATTTATTCTTGAAACCAAATTATTCTTCCTTGTGTTGCGACGTATTCAAGGTCATATTTTGGTTCTTATGGACCATTTAATTTTTATCATCTTCAATTTGAACTTTCTTCAAGTAGTAGACGGTCAATTCCACATGAATCCACTGATGCATGACAAACTTTTATGTAACATGACTAAAATATATGAGATGACGTCTCATCATCCTTCCTTTTTTTTATAAATTAATATCAAATGAGTTAATACTGATTGAAAAAGCAGTCAGCAGTGGACCCTGATCTTTCTTACACTTTATTTTTTTTATATTTATTCACTGTTCCACATTTTCCTCTCCCCCAGTCCCTTTTGTAATGCATCTCTTGTTGCAGATTATTGTCATACCTATCATACCTAATCATATATTCCTTTCATCTGTTCCAATGCAGTGTTTATTATCTATCCTCTCTTTCTGTTCTCTCAATTCCTCTTGTCAGTCCTGTTTTATAACAATGATATTACTCACTATTTTTCCTTTTGTGACTGAGCTATTTCACTCAACGTAATGTCCTCCAGGCTCACCCATATTGTGTAATGTTTTCTTTCTTTTTTTTCAAGAATTACCTACATGTTTAATTTTACTTAAGAAATAGCATAATAGGGGAGGGGAAGGAGGAGGAGAAAAGAAAATGTGCAACAATGGAAAAAAATAATAAAGATTTTTTTAAAAAAAGAAATACCATAAGAAATAACAATAATTAAAAGTGAAAAGTACTAGAAAAATAAATAC